ATATAACACAACATTATGTACTATATTAATACAATACATCACTTTTATCATTGATTCCTTTAGACTCAGGAAAAACAAAACAGAACAGAATGGAACGGAACGGAACAGAACAGAAATCTGAACAGAACAAAAAAAATATTATTGGACAAAATTTCTTCAGGTATTTATCAAGCAATCTTTCAAAGTTTTTTATCCCTTATGCTTTGTTGCCCTTCACTGCCAGAATATTTCCCAAAATGTAGAAAATCATCATGTTGAATAAAAATGTTTGATATTAAAAAAAGTATGTTACCTCTCCATTTTCTTGTTTATCGTCGTCCTCATCATCTTCATCCTTCAAAATTACACACATTTGAAAAGAATTCATTATATGACCCATATTTTCCACTTTCAGAAAAAAACTCACGTGAGACAGTACAGAGCTCTCTAAGCTTGAGTGGGCCACAAAAAGCTCTATTCGAATACAGGTCATTTCGCCCAAAAGACCGTTCGCACAATTTGTTTCGCCCATATATCGGACCGTTCACACAATTTTAAGAAGACACTTCGCACAGAAAATTATAATCTACGTAAAATGGCTACCGTGGTCGAGTAGGGAATAAATTGAAGTTCGTCGCCTCGCGCCGGTTTATATTGAACTCCTTCGACACGAACTGGTATGGCAGCTACCTAAATAGGTTGATTTGGCACGCTTTTACTAATTTCACTCTAGTCTCGATTATCCAAGTATTTGGACATGTTGAAGCTGACAGCGGTTCGAAGTGTCATCCCTCAGCTTTTTCCGAAACAAGTCCGGTCGTGCTGTAATTTGCATCGCCAGAATATAAACACTATCAACAAACTTGATAAAAGAAAACCTAACCAATAAAAGTAACTGTATTCACTTGCTTGTTTACGTCTCCATGGTGAATTTTAAAAGCCGCGGCTGTAACTCATAATACCATACCCATTTTTTTAAAAAAAAGGATAGTGGTAGATACAGGTAAAAGTTAAATATGGTCTGAGAGACCAATTCTGTTTCGTATTAACAGAATCGCTGATACGTCATTCCATACTTAGTAGAAGTTGAAAGTCTTCCCGTGCTAACTCTCAGACGAAAGTCAGGTGACTTCGAACTCCGAGAACCATGTGTATGAATCGGTCACCGTGATGCCGGATTTTGCCGACATTCGGCGTTGTGGRTTCTTTATGCTAGATTATTATCCAAAATACAAATATCCAAAATGCAAAGAACAAGTTCTCCAAAGCTTTATTTGGAACATTTCAAACTCTAGCTGTGACAATTAAGATTAAAACGTAATAAAGTTGTSTCAAGTGATCAAGTGTTCTAGAATATCGCGTTTGTGATTGAAAAAGCCATACAAATGTCGTTTTATAAACAGTTATAGTAACCGTTAATCAGTTATCAAATATAAGGAATTAAAGAGAATTTGGTTTATTTATCGTCTAAATAGAGAAACATGTGTGTTTCTTTTCTCATCCAGTGTAGTGCTCGTACAAAACCAAGTTGTTGAGTCGTCGTTTTTAACAGTGTCGCGTTCGAGTTCGTTGAMATTTTTTCCATAAATATTGATTTAAAAGCCATAAGATTTCATCGAAAGTGATATATATTATTAGAGTAGATTGATATATCTTTCATATCTTTCTTTGAGGCGTTTTATTTTCTGTGCGAAATGACTATCCATCAATATGAGAATTGTGCGAACGGTCCGAAACTTCGGGCGGAACGACTTGTGCGAACGGTCTCTTGTGCGAAATAACCTGATACCCTCTATTCGGCTTGATAATATCCTACCTTAAGAAATATCCCAATGCTGCTGATTTTCTTCTTGGCAGGTGTGAGAATAGTTGCTGCAGAGTCCTTAAAACAACAAAAATAATATAAACATCTTAAGTTCACTCCACAGGGAACCCATCACAGAAAATGTTTTCTCCACAGGGAACCCAATAATCAAAAACTACACATGGAAACCAACATACAAAAAATATCTTTCTCCAGTCAGACCATCATATTTTCTCAAGCAGCCTATCTTAAATCAAGATATCATATTACCTCATTTATGAGCACTGTGTCGCCAACAAAGAGAGCATAACTCTTGTTTTGTTCATCTTTTGCTTTATCGTTGACTAAACCAGAGAATCCAGCACTGATGTTGAATACCATTCCTATTTAAAAACCAAATTAAAATTTACAACAACAAAAAAAAATTAAAAAGAACCGCTAAATCCCACATTGAAAAGCAAGTCATCTACATCGTACACGTAGCTCAAGCTTTCTTTCAGTTCAAGTTGGCTTCAAAAGACTGAAGGTTTATTATGATAATAAAAAATAGAGATAAAGGAAAGTTAGAGTGCTTAGAAGGAGGTTTTTCTGTGAGAAAGACCCTTGGAAATATTTTTGGAAAAAAATAATTTCCGACCTGCGATTCGAACACACAACCCTCGGATTTGTACTACCAATGCTCTATCAGCTGAGCTAATGTACAAGGTCAGACTGGGAACAGATTGGGGTGAAATAGATATTAGGTTGTGGTAATAAGAATGTGAAGATATGAGTATGAGGACAGCATGGGACTATGATAGACACGATATAGAAAAGGACAGCAATAGTGCTTAGAAAGAGGTTATTCCAGGAGAAGGTTTATTAAACATTGTTGAGTTAAAAAACTGTGAACATAGCTAAGTATGTGTCTGTTCTGGATTTACGACATGATTTTGAAAATAGACATTCCAATAAACATATAATACTCAGACATTCAAAAGTTTCAAATCTCTTTCTCCAATAAATATTGCAAAAGTTATCGAGCTCTGTACTTGACATGGATAAAACTAAGATGAAGAATTACAAGTCTCTACCTTTCTTGGCTGTTTGAGAGTTTTTAGATGTTATTAACAATGAACCTTCTCTAAACTCAATACCCATAGCAAACCTAAAACATACATTATATAATTATTATATTATATCTCAACAAAATAATATAAAACAAAGATTTTTTCTCAAATTGCATGTTTGCATAGAAGATTTGATTTCTGCATTATTTACATCATGTCACTAGTGCTGGGTGGGACGTTAAAGGAAAACACAAAAAATTCTTAATGCTGGGGTTAAAACATGAAAAATAAACAGCCAGCCCTTAGTTAACCAGAAACAAGTTTATATTCTGAACAAATTTGTTTTGGAAAACAGAAACAGAACAACCAGACAGGTTTAAAGCCAGATACTGGAATCATAAAGCCGTGGCCACATATTTTGTACATGAGTGATTTTTCTCTTGCACAGAAGATGCGATTTTCTCAAAATCACCAGCGCATTGATGAGGCTACATGAGTGACAATGCTGTAAAAAAAATCCTCACAMATACTTATTTGAATCTTCATAAAGAGGCATATGTACAAAAACAGATCAAATTTGATGTTTAGCTTTCATCGTACCCGAAAATCGCTTCGCGTATGCAAGAGAAAAATTGCTTGTGTAGCTGCGGCTTAAGTACTGTTCATACCCTACATTCTTGACAAAGTTGTTTTGTAATTGTGGTTTATTTTGAGTAATATGATCCATCGCTGCTTTGTAAACATCACACAGTTTAATGCCTAGACAAGTAGACAACGAAAAAGAATTATGTCACAAAAAAAATTCATAAGCAAAGTCAAAATAGAGACCAAGCAGTCACATGACTTTTCTGGTAAACAAAGAGTTGTGATAGTCGTCTACATACCATGTCTTAACTTGTCGATAAGCAAATCCAAAATAGCTAGCAGAAATGTATAGTTTTCTTGCATTTCCTGAAGATGAAAAAGTTGAGACTTTTAATGAATGAATCATTATATTGAATAAATGAGTAARGAAATTCAAAGGCTTTAYGTTAACTGCATCAAGGGAATGAAAGGGTTCATGCTACGTTCTCACYACAAAATTCCAGGACTTTTCWATTCCTTTTTAAGCACAAAAAATGTGAGTATTTTTGAAAATATTTTTTGGTGTTTGCAGACAAACTTCCAGAGACAATTTTTCAAAAATAGCCACATTTCAATCTAAAAGCTAACAAGMAATATTTCAATTTCATCAGATTCAAGGAGTTTTCCAGTAGTTTTAGCGATTTTCCCATTATATATTCAAGGGCTTTTCACGCGCCCTTAAAACAAGTTTTCAATTCCAGGACTTTTCAAGGATTTCAAGGAGTAGCATAAACCCTGGAGTGTCTATCTACAGTAGTTTGTTGAAAAAGAACCACAATATTGAGGAACAAAAGGAGTGTTAAGTCTTTTTGACTATAAGTCTTTCAATTCTTACCTCAGTTGGTTCAACCATCATTGTTCGCACAATATTGGAACAGTAAAACTTGTATCGAACACCAAGCGAACAGATTATGACACCATAATTCATCTTGTCATCGTTACTGAGAATCAACCAAATGATTAGTGAATCAACCAAATGATTAGTGAATCAACCAATCACCAAATCACTTAATCCGTCAATTGTTTAAATTCATCAAACATAATTATCAATCATCTAACCAAGGAATAATTTGATCACTTCAACAAAAAATCGTTTCAGTAATCATTCAAGTCATTCCTTGTACAAAATTTCATAAAACAACCATCGTTTCAATCAATCAACTATCCCATCAATCAATCAACCATCTA